TCTCAAGGAGTTCAGGAAGGAAAAGAATGCTTTGAAACTGTGGTAGCAGTTGTACAATACTGCTTGATGTGATTAAACGATGGAATGATATGATATCTGTATTAATTCTTAAAATAATGGTTTTGAACAGAAAAAAAAGCAGATTGTACCTAGAAAAAATAAATAAAATAAAATAATATTAGTGGTAGTTACATTTTAATAGAGCTGAAGTGCTTTGGAGAAATAAGGAATATGACAGCATAAAGAATATTTAGTTCATCATTTAGGAAAATGTTTCTTACATATAAATATATATATATAAATGAAATCATTTCCATTTAAAAATGTGGTTGTTATCACACATAAATATATTAGGATAGTATTCCATTAAGATGATTAACTGGGTGCCTAGCCATTTTTACTTTACATATTTAAGAAAACATCGGTATGTATGCGCAGTGTGGAATCCCTGATGACTCCGATTGTTGAATACATGGCCTCTAAATGACTGGTGGCTCAAAGTCACGCCGTGGCACCTCAGGAAAAAGGCCTGGTTTTCTGTCTCTAAAAGGTCAGAAGTCAAAGATTCTATGTGTTTACTTGTACAATTATGTCTCACTTTATTGAATATCATGTTCTTCAGAACAGGGAAAGTCATATTCATAACAAATCTTATTTTAAATGCATTAGTAAGACGTATTTTTACATTGAACTCTTGAAAACCCACATGCATAGTGATTTGATTGCTTTTCCTCTAGTCTGAATGGGCTGAAAACCATTTTAGGAAAAGAGCTATAAAGTCTTTCCATATACAACCAAAGTCCAAATCCTTACTTTGAAGCAGTTTTGGGGTGTTTTTTTTAATCATTTTATTGGGGGCTCGTGCAACTCGTATCACAATCCATCCATCCATCCATTGTGTCAAGCACATTTGTACATTTGTTGCCCTCATCATTCTCAAAACATTTACTTTCTACTTGAGTCCTTGGTATCAGCTCATTTCTTCCTCTCCTTCCCCACTCCCCACTCCCTCATGAACTCTTGATAATTTATAAATTATTATTATTTTGTCATATCTTACCCTGTCTGACATCTCCCTTCACCCACTTATCTGTTGTCCATCCCCCAGGGAGGAAGTTATATGTAGATCCTTGTAATCGGTTCCCCCTTTCTCCCTCACCTTCCCTCCACCCTCCCGGTATCGCCACTCTCACCATTGGTCCTGAAGGGTTTATCTGTCCTGGATTTCCTGTGTTTCCAGTTCCTATCTGTACCAGTGTATATCCTCTGGTCTAGCCAAACTTTCAAGGTAGAATTTGGATCATGATAGTGGGGGGAAAGAAGCATTTAAGAACTATAGGGAAGTCCTGTGTTTCATCGTTGCTACACTTCACCCTGACTGGCTCCTCTCTTCCCCACGACCCTTCTGTAAGGGTATGTCCAGTTGTCTATAGATGGGCTTTGGGTCCCCACTCTGCACAGCCCCTCATTCTCAATGATATGATTTTTTTATTCTTTGATCCCTGATACCTGATCCCTTCAAGACCTCATGATCCCACAGGCTGGTGTGCTTCTATGTGGGCTTGTTGCTTCTGAGCTAGATGGCCGCTTGTTTATCTTCAAGCCTTTAAAACTCCAGACACCAATTGATGCAAAATCAGTGGCGAGGAGGGTGTAGGAGGCCTGGAAGGGCTTGATCAAGGGCAATGTAACCGAGAGGAATTACTGAAACCCAAATGAAGGCTGAGCCTAATAGTGGGACAAGAGGAAAGTAAAAGGAAATAGAGGAAATAACTAGGAGGCAAAGGGCATTTATAGAGGTCTAATTACAGGCATGTACATATGTAAATATATTTATATATAAGGATGGGGAAATATATCTACGTGCATATATTTATAGGTTTATATTAAGGTCGCAGATGGACATTGGACCTCCACTCAAGTACTCCCTCAATGCAAGAATACTTTGTGCTATTAAACTGGCATTCCATGATTGCTGAAGACAAAGCAAGTGCATAAGCAAATGTGGTGAAGAAACGGTTGTTCTACTGTTTATAGAAGCTTGGCCAGAATGCTCCTTGCAGGCAAGGCTGGAAGACTTCATCTTACGGACTTTGGACCTGTTGTCAGGAGACCAGAGGATCTAGAGAAGGCCACCATGCTTGGTTAAGTAGGAGCAGCACAAAAGGGAAAGGCCCTCAAGGAGATGGGCTTGGCCATAGGAACAAGTGTGAGGCTGGCGCAGGACCAGACCGTGTTGAACTGTTGTGCGTGGCATCGCTATGGGTCGGCACTGACTCAATGGCCCCCAACCACTAGAGCAGAGGTTTCCGAGGAGTTGAAATACACCTGATGGCAGGGATTTGGTTAGTTTGGAGGGATCATAACCTCAGGGGGTCTACCAGTTTATCAGACCAGTAAGACTGGTCTTTGTTCCTTTGAATGTGCGCTGCATTTTTCTCCCTCTCTAGCCAGGGCTCTTTTTGTGATCCCTTTCAGAACAGTCAGCAGAGGTAGCCAGGCAGCATCTAGTTCTGGTCTCACAGTCCTGGAGGCTGAGGTATGCATGGCCCATTAGTCCTTTGGATGAATTGTTTGCATGTATCTTTAGATTTCATAACTCTTCTTTGCTGTGAATGTGAAGAGACCAGTAGTTGTACTGTGTTATTCTGGGTAAACTAGAGAAACAAATCCATAGACACTCATGTGTATAAGAAAGAGCTTTATGTACAAGAGCAGTTGAATATTGAGAAAACATCCCAGGCCAGTCCAGATCAAGTCCATGAATCCGATATTAGCCCACATGTCTGATACCAATCTATCAAGTCCTCTTCAGACTCATGAAACATGGGCAATGACACCGAATATGCAGGAAGATCATGTTGAGCTAGTAAGGAAAATCAGCCTTAAGCATTGTGCTCTTTTAAGATCTACCTAAATGAGATCAAGTTGACAACAGCAACTTAAAAGATTAGATCGCAAACTTAGGGGGCAGTAAATTTATGTTAAAGAGGAGCAATACCAAAAGGAAAGTGAGAATGACTATGCAAGGTGAAGAATGTAAGCAATCCATATCACTAAGCTGCTTATTTAGAAACTTTTGGATTGGTGTCTGTTCTGCTGCGTATATTCTCCACAACAAAAATAAATGTTTTTTTTCTAAATGAAGGTGGGGCAAATTTAAGTAATGTTTCTCTTTCTTTAGCTATTGAACAGTCAGCCCTCCTCTCCCTATCTGTGGGTTCCACATCTGCAGATTCAAACAGCTGCAGGAAGGAAAATATCGGGAGGAGAAAAAGGCAATTAATTGGTCAAAGCAATCCTTCCAAGGCTAAGAGGAAGGAAGTATACGCTGCTACTTACACAGTGTTTACACCGTATTCCGTCTTATGAAGGCTTTCAGGGGCTAATTCAGACTTTTAGTCTATTCTTAGTCTGTTTCAGCTCTGCTGAAACCTGTTGACTTGGGATGACTCCCTGGTATTTGAAATATCAGTTGCATAGCTTCCAGGATCACAGCAACACACAAGCCACCACAGTACAGCAAACCAACAGACTTGGGACATCTTTCCGGGAGAGACCCTTCCCTGAAAAGGACATTATGCTTGGTAAAGTAGAGCACCAGCGGAAAAGAGGAAGGGCTTTGACAAGATAGACTGACACGGGGCTACAACAATGGACTCAAACATAAGACTAATTAAGCCCCAGACGGTGTTTTGTTCTGTTTCCAAAGGTCACTATGGATCAGAACCAACTTGGCAGCCCCTAGCAACAAGTAATGTAGAAATGATTTAAAGTATGCAGGAGGATATGCAGACGTTATATACAAATGCTATACCATTTTAAATAAGGGACTGAAGCATCCATGCAGGAGCCTTGGTGGCAAAATGGTTATGCATGGGGCTGTGATCAGCAAGGTCAGCAGTTCAAAACCAACAGCAGCTCCCTAGGAGACAGATGGGAGTTTCCTACTCCCATAAACAGTTAGTCTCAGAACCTCCCAGGAGTAGTTCCGTCCGGTTCTCTAGGGTCCTTATGAGCCAGCGTTGACTCCACGGGAGGGAGTTTGTTGGTTTGAAACATCCATGCATTTGGGTATCCAAGCACGTCCTCGAAGCAGCACCTGCAGATATTAAGGGAGGATTGTACTTCGGAACAAGCTGTGTGTCTAACTCCTTTTAGCCGCTTTTTGGCAATTAAAGTAGTGAACTAAAAAAATAAATAAATAAAGTAGTGAACTATCTATCTTATATGAAAATTGAATTTATGTGTTCAAAGTTGGTCCTTTTATTGTAGTAAGTCTATTATAGAAACCATCTTTAGGGTGTATCTATCTGGATGGAGAATCATGGTAAAACATAGCCAAATAATTTTCGTTACTATACATCTATAAGTACAGCATCTTAGCAGATGCCATGAGCGAAATTTTTCCTGAGTCCATATTACTAACCAGCTGTTATCTGTCTCTAAAAATATATTGGTGATTGGGAAAATTAGAACACAACTATTAATTTTACAAGTCTGCTTTGCTGAATTTCAAAATCTAGGTGTAACTTAAACTATATATATCTTTGTCTTCTTTAATTGATCCACTCATTTTAGAATTTCCTTTGTTTACATCTTATATTTTAATAAGCATTTTATATTCTTATGTTATTTCTTCAAATGCTTTCACAGTAAGATTATGAAAACCATTATCCATGTTCAGAAGGAAGCTATCCAAACATAAGATTATGACACAATAATGAAGTTTTGTGATAAGATTCTAGTAAAATACAAAATGCGAACTTGATGTCTATGGAATAAAATTTTACCAAATTAGTGTTTTGGTTCTCTGCACTTTTGAATCTACATTAAAATGTGGTTTCCTTTCTTTGCTAGACATATGCGGAAAAAAAAGTATTAATGACTTGAAGACTTTGACATTTTAAGTTTTTTTTTAATGAATCTTGCTAATAATCAATCTTCCGTCTTAAAATTCACTGTTCTCTTTGATTCTATTTTTAAACCCCCCTCTTTAGGTTTGGATGTGTGGAGGAGAAATGTTTGATGTTCCGTGTTCCAGAGTTGGTCATATCTACAGGAAGTACGTCCCTTACAAAGTTCCGTCGGGAACCAGCCTGGCCCGAGTGAGTCAATGGATATCAGAATAGCCCTGGCTTGATAGAGTTTCCCAAAGGCAGAGCAGTCAGCCTCACATACGGCATGATTTAAGACACAAATTGATAGAAACATCTGTCCAAAATAAAAGCCCTGCCACCTGCCATTCCGTTTGTTAGGTTTGAGTCCATAGAGTGCCTGTTTCTCGGGGCGATTCCCTGCCATCCTTTTGGAAAGTATGAACTATTCCACTACTTCTTAGCAGTAGTTTTCAAGCACAGTTGTGTATGTCATGTTCAATATTTACAACTCCCTTCTGAAGCTGGTGGTTTTATAACCTTTCCTCAGTTGAGGAAATAACAGTTTAGGAAAGTGGTGGGTACACACACATGAAAAACAGCAGAGTCCAAAGTTAAGGCCAGTCTTTCTGAGTAGGCATCCAGTCCGTTCTCACTACCTGGAGCATAACCCACCACGACCATCCAGTATATTTCAGCTTACAGTAACTCCATATTGCATATCTACAGCTTTGTAAGTCTTCATGGGAAGCAGACAGCCTCATCTGTCCTCCAAGGAGTGACTGGTGTTTTGAACTGCCGATTCTGCCATTAGCAGTCTAACACTTAACTGACAGCAACACGAGAGCCCTTTCTGGAGTGTGACCCAATCCATGAACAGACAGCTGGAGAAAAGAGTCAAGGGAGATGCAGGGGGTGTGTGTGTGTGTGGGAGTGGGGGTGGATGGCCAAACACTGTCTTCTTTGTCTTTGTTACTTGGGCCAGCTCGGCCTAAAATTATACTCCATCCTCAAAATGCCAAAATCGATTCAGTTTAGCTGTTGGCTAAGCCTTGGGTGGATAACCACAGGGTTCAAGACTATCTGCCACTCCTTGGGAGAAAGACGAGGCTATGTTCTGCCATAAGGACTCCTAGCTTCAGAAACCTTATGTACGGTTGTTATGATTCAGAATCTACTCAATGCCAGTGGGTTAAGTTTGTTTTTAGATATTGTTTTGAAAAAGGTTTTCCTCTTGAGTGAGCTATGCGGGGCCTTTTCTCTTATGTCTTTTAGAATGCTTTTATATGTGATTGGAAAGCATTTATTTAGCTGCTAATTGCAGTCACAATACCCTTTATAGACAATCGTGACAATTTCTCTAGGTTTCCCAAGTTAGTTTCTTTATGATGTGGTCTGTTCTACTCATTTACTTATGTATCTGCTGCAGCTTGCATACCAAATCTATAAAAAGGATTATTTTTACAATTCTTTGCACAAGCTGTCCCAAGTATCCCAGACTTAAATTATTCCGTTTGTTTGTTTGTTTTCAAAATTAGTAAGACTGAAACATAAATAACTGTTATAATATGTTTTTATATAAAACTCAATCCTCTCACATAACAGGCTTTTAAAACATTTTTATTTATCAGGATTCATGCAAATATCAGTCCCAATGCATGATAGGCACCAATAAATGTTTATTGAGAGAAATAATTATTCTAGAAAACAAAAAGTAAAAGGTTATTAATCTTAAATTGCTACTAAACCTTAAATATTTTCATGATATATAATAAAAATATAATTTGTAATTATTTGGCTTTGGGGGGAGATGTCTTCCTTCTCCCCTTCCTGAAACATTTGTCAGCAATGATGATTTTTGTGTAGTTTTACTCATAACCTCTGTTCAGCAGTTAGACTTTCCAGTGATGAGCTTACAGTAGAGACCTCTCAAAGGGAAATAGTCATCCTACTTGTACCTCCCCCAAATCAAATGAGCTATAAGTAAACAATTCCACTAGATAGCTGTAGAATTACCCTCTTTGAAGAAAAGAAACCAATCACAAAATAACAAACTGATTAAAGAACTGCTTTTGGGTAAGAAAATTCGCTTAATTTAATCTTAATCTGTAGAATTCACCCTAAAGGCTTAATGCATATGAATCTGAAAGTTTGTTCAGGAAAACAGCAGAAATCTGCAAGAATGAAGCATTTTGCGCATATACCACGAATCAGCCATGTGGACCTAATGAGTCATATTCATTTGAAATACCCTAAAGATAATCATGCTCTGTCACTCATCTACTTTCTTTTAGTCGTATGGTGCCCAGCTTGTGGCCTGTGTCACCACTCACTCCAGGGGTGTTGGGGGCGCTCGGTGTAGAGTTAACAACAGTGGAAGAGGCAGGGGCAAGATGTGCTATTTCAGTAGAGTCTTTTTTCAAAAACTAACACTGCACATACATTCTCAAGAAAGAAATTAAGTACTTTTTCAAGGATTGTCAAATATAGGAAAACTAGGATTGACACATAAAACTTCCAGGCAAGAAGTGAGTATTTATTCAAATGAAAAAAGTCCATAATTCTGAATTTTAATCTTTTCCACTTAAATTTTACTTGAGGGCTCATTTTTTAAAACTGCTAGAGCAATCAGAGTGTCATAAATATTGAAACTCAACTGTCACTCTAAGGAGCATTTTATGATTTTTTAAATAAAAATGTATATTAAAATGAAAAACAATTCCGGTGTTTTGTGGGAGAACTTCAACTACCTTGCTACACCTACATCATTACTAAATCATCAGAAATGATGAGAGGCTGTAAGGGTGCTACAGAAGCAGGACTCTGTCAGCTTGCTGGGCAGTTCATCTTCCCAGCCTCCTTACGGAGGTGAAGAGGGAGACTTGACTCCAAATGCTTGTTTTCCTTTTAACAAAGACCGCTTACTGCTTTCATGTATGTACATATGTAAATTGAAGATTCTCAAACACACAAACACACCCACAAACGTGTGAACAGCCTATAGTTGTCTAACAGTACCGGAGTGTATTATCAAAATTAAATTCAAATCATTGGTCATTCAGTATCTTCTATTTATTACAAGAAAGTTGGGTTAAGCCAAGTTATGTATACATGAAACTATTAGAAGACAATATGAGGGGCTTCAAAAATTCATGGAATTTTTCCAGTACCTGATAATTCCTTCTTTGCACAAACTTTTTGAAGCCCACTTTTTGAAGACATCATTGTCCAAATACATTTTGAAGGCATGCATGTCTCTTTAAAACACATGTGGAGAGAAGGGGATAGTGATACTATAGGGGTGACCATCCTCAGGCCGCTCAAGTTAAAAGAATGGAAGACAGAAAAAAAAAACAGATTACAAACTGTGATGTTAGTGAAGAATGCTGAATATACAACAGAATAAATAAATGCTGGATGTACAGCAAAACAAATAAATCCATTTTGCAGGAAAGTTCATTTGAACGCTCTTGAGAAGCAAGGTTGGTGAAACCTTATCTCATCGACTTCAGGCCACTGTCGGGGAGGACATGATGTTTGGTCAAATAGAGGGTCTGAGAAAACAGAGGAATTCCCCCATTCGAGGGATTGACGCGTTTCAAAATGTACAGAGCACACACCAGTGATCATGCAGATGGCCCAGGGCCAGATGGCATTTCGCTCTTTTACACATAACACGGCCGTGAGTCAATGCCAACGCAAAGTCATTAACACCACCCCCAACACCAGGGATGCCTCAATTAAAGTAATGCGCTTCATTCAAAGCACTGGTTCCCAAACACAAGATCAGTGACCAGGGCCGCACGTTTCTACCAGCCTCAGTGACTTGAGAAAAATAATTATTATAAAGTGAATTTATTCAATTTAATAAAATTCCCTTTCTATAGTATTTAGAGGTTCTGTCTGACTGCATAGAAATTAAAGATATCCACTTGTTCAAGATGTGAAGTTGGTTCATGTGCTTATTTGCAAAATAAAAATAGCATCACTATCTTAGTTCGCAAAGAGCCAAGATGTAGGTCACAGTCACGTGGAGTTTAGATTCATCTGAGAAGCAAGAGTGTTGTCTCATCATTAAAGAACCTAGATATTTTTACTGGGTCTGTTCAGGGTCTAATAGCAGGATCTGGAAGTGCAGGGGCGTGCACTTTTCACCTAGGGTAAATAACCAGTGGTCCCTGAGGAAAAGGATGCTCATCCCTGCAACCGGAGGGAGACTAGAGGGCCCACAGGACAGAGGTGACAATTCTTTCTGTGGTGTGGCCCTGCCTTTCCTTCATCCATGAAGAATGAGCAGCTCTTCAGTGTAATGCCACTCAGGGAGCCTTTTGAGCTGCGGGAGGCTTTGCACAGCCAGAGGGGGCTGAGTAGAAAACGAGAAACACTTTCAGAGACAGCCCTTTCAAGCAGCCAGATTGTGGTGAGAGCCAGACATTGTGCCAAAAGGAGAATAATTCCCAGTATGTTTAGGAGCTGGGGAAGACCCTGGACTGAAGACAGGTGGCTTCAACAGCAGGGACCCAGGGAGACAGCTAAGCATTTGAAACTGTGGTCCTGGTGCAGAATGTTGGAAAGCACCATGTGCTGCTAAAAGGACAAATCGATCTGTCTTAGAAAAAGTACAGCAAGGGTGCTTCCTACAGGCAGGAGGACAGGGCTTCATCTGCCCTAGTTTGGCCATTGTCAGGGGAGACCAGGCCCTAGAGGAGGACATCATGCTTGGTAAAGTGGAGGAGCAGTGGAAAAGAGGAAGGTCCTTAACGAGGTGGACTTCCATTGGGCTGCAACAACGGGCTTAGGCATAGGAACCATTGTGAAGATGGCACAGGACCAGACCGGGTTCGGTTCTGTTGCGCAAAGGCTCGCTATGGGCCAGAGCCCCCTCAATGGTACCTGAAAACAACCAAGCATCCCAGCTGATTGTAGCACAGCAGAGGTTCTCTTGGGAGCCCGAGGTTCACCACAGCAGCTGGGGGGCAGCCCTGCAGCAGTAAGTGGGGCAGCCCTGGAAGTGCACACCTCCTAGTCCCCAGGAGAGGGAGAGGGCAGCCAGAGGAGAGCAAGTTGGAATTAAAGTCTGTACTGTGCAGAGAATGGAAATCAGGGGACTGAATGTCTTTATTTTACCTCTGTCAGATTATCCATTCCTGTTTTCTTTCCTTTTAAAAAAAAAAAAACATTTTATTGGGGGCTCATGCAACTCATATCACAATCCATACATACATCCATTG